CCCCCCTGCCCCTCCGAGCTGCTTCCACAGCAGGCCGAGAGCCCTGGGCAAGTCCTGCATTTTGCATCCCTGCTCCAAGGAGGAAACCCATGAAGCGGAAAAGAAAACAGACCGATGGAGACACCGCTTTACATCTGTCTTTCCCACAAAGGTTTGCTCATGCAAATGAAAACCAAGAGGCATGCAGGTTTGCATTTAAGAATGAATGAAAACCCTAATTCCTGATGCTTACCCAGTGTAGATTTACTGTGTAGAGTGGGATACTGGGAACCCAACCCCCCTCCCTAGCACAAACTGGTGTGGTACAGGCGTTCCTGTCCTGCAGCAGGGCCATGGGCTATGTGGTTTTCCCATCGAGAGCGGAGCTGGGCTGGCTCCTGCTTAGTTAAACACATGTTTGGAGCTCTGAGCTTTTACTATTCTGGCCCATGAAATGGGATGAAGAATAGCTTTTCAGAGATATTTCTAAAATTAACTACGGTTTAGCTTATTTAAGAGCCAGAAAGCCTAAATTAGGGATATGCAGTTCTACATGTACATTTTAACATGACCCCGGAGCAGAACAAGCTCGATGCTGAGCTGTTTTGAAAACCTCAACTTAAGCATTTCTGCTGTTCAAAGTGGGGTAGATCTTTCCTTCCCATTTGCCCTGTGGCTGATCCAAAGGACAGCACCATCCACCAGCCAGCCTCGCTGCCTGACGACTGTTAACAGCTTTCGGAGCAGCGACAGAAGATGCAGACCACTACAAAGGCAGCTGAACAGTCCTGACGCTCATCCGCAGGTTACCTCAACAGTGAAAAGCACAGAGCCCGTGTGGTTACAGCACAGGCATGGACTGTCCTTCCCCACCAAAGCAGAACATGGTAACTTGGTGTACAACAGATTGCAGCTCAGTTACTCAGATTTTCCATCAGTTCAGATGGGAAACAAGATGTTGCACCAGTAAGAAGAGCTAACCTTCCCCACGTCTCTTTTATATTTGCACTTGCCTTGCTCAAAAACTTTTCTCCTACTCTTTAAAGTCATAAAAAGCTGGTGGGGAAGGACGCTAAGGATGGAGGCAAGACAAAAATTTCTGTGAGAGGCTATTCACTCCCCTCCCGCTTCCTCCATTAGGGAGTTCGTTACAGGAACCTGTCTCTCAAATTGAACCAACCAAGGGAAGAAGGAAACATTGCACAAAGATGTGGAGAAACAGAGAAGACTCCTTCAGTGTTGATCCCCAGTCCATGGCCATGTCTGCAGCTCCTGGTTGTTACAGATGCGCTGTGGCTGCTGCACGCATCTTTGCTGTGAAATCGTACCTCGTTTATAGAAATCTATATGCCAGAGAAATGGTATCAATTCCTCTTCTTTACAAGGTCTAGATTTAGTTTCTGCAGATCATTTGCAGCACATGAACCCTGAAGAGTCTTTTCAAAGCCAGAACTTATCAGCTGACAATGTCTTGCGCCATAAAATTAACCTGATGTAAATGTTTTCTGCTGAGCAGACTGATCTAACACAAGGGCAGTTGGTTTGGTGACCTCCCCGCAGGTCCCTTGGGAGGACGTGGGGTGGTGCTGGTTGGGACATCGTGGCGATGTGCTGTGGTTTGGTGAAGCGTTTTATTGCATCTCCTCCCCAAAGTCGTGTTTTAATATGGCTCAGAGCAGCAGTGATAGAGCTGCTCCCTACCCACCCACCCAAAATAACACAGCTGGTGCCCAGTGTCACGGTCTCAACCCCAAGTCACCCCAAGTCACTTCCCGTCCTTCAGCAGCCGTGGAGGGACACGAAAGGGCTCTGAGGACAGCTTTGTCTCACCTCTCCCAGCACAGCCCTTTGAGGGCCGGTTGGGGAATGAGCTGTGCAGCCACGACCTCACGCCAGAAATGAAGAGGTGCATTTACAGCAACACCAGAATGGTATTTCCAGAGGGGACGGAGTAGCAGAATGGGTTTCGCTAGTTTGGAGGGCTTCTTTCCCCTCTCAAATTTGCTAAATTGCAACTCTCCTGAGTGCCCACTTCCCTGGCAAGTGGTTGGCTCCCCATGTGTGCTGGGGCAAGCACCGATGCTGCAGCGCATCACCATACCGGTGTTAATCAGCCCCATTAACCTGGCTGAAAATAATTAAAAAAAAAAAGACAGTGAGGGAAGAAGCTCCCACTTTGAAGCCAAGAAGTGACTTTAACAACTAGAGGTAATTGGATGAGCTAAGAGAAAATGCAGTCGCATTAATTATTAAGAAAGACTAATTGTTGGCAAGGTAAAGTTAGGAGACCTCACCGCTCATGCATTGGTGTCTGATTGCGATAGAAGCTCGAGGCTAGCTAGAAAACTCCCCTTTTGCTGAGCACACACAAACCCAGCAGGTCTTTCGCATGAGGATCAGCCTCACGATCAAAGCCGCAATGTTATTTGGCTCCGAGGTGCCTGATCAGACACAGCATCCTTCGCCGCTGCTCCCACCCCACATCATGCGTGCCCGGCAAGGGCTGCGGCGTGCTCCGGCCATCCGCAGCCACGGGGTTATACAAGCTGCCGGGACGGTGCTGGTTGATCAGAATTATAAATGAAGTTTTTTTTTAAACAAAATGTGGGCTTTAAATTAGAAAATGGTGAGAGATTGTAATCAAACATTTTCTGGAAAGCACCTTGTGTTAGCAAGTATTTTGACTCATTAAGACTGATCTATTTAGTTGTGACATGCTAAAAATGAGTAGTTTTAATTTGCTGGCTTGACAGAGCATTTTTGTTTTAAACTTTAAAGCTAATCTCAGCAAAATGTAGCATAGAAGGTCAAAAGTCAAAACTTGAGTGAAACGATCAAACAAAAAGTTTCCATGGCCAGCAAAACTCTTTGGGTTTCTAGCTCTGTGAAAATACTAGAACTTGCTTCTGCTTGGATCAGTTTAGGAAAAGAAATAAATAAAAAGAAGCGAATGTTTTGTAACCTGTGAAAACTCTTCCTTGCTACAGCTGAAAGCAGTGTTAAAAGCAGCAGCGGCCACACCAAGCTGCCTGGGTGGCTGCTGGGGATCCCAGCATCTCCCCAGTGCTGGGCTCCACTGCTGCTTCTGCAGATGGGAATTTTTAAAATTAATTTTCTGGTAGAAGACAATTCGTAACTACAATAAAGCAGCTTAATTCTATTGCCACTTCCAACACTCGGTGCCCAATTTAGTGAAAAATGTTTTGTTAAATTTCATGATGGCTGCACCAAGCACCCAGGATCGGTCCTCGCACGGGGCGGTGGGGGCTGCGTACCCGGCCGGCACCATGGCGAGTGGTTTAATACATTAAAGGAGAAGAGGAAACCTGTCTGCCGCAATTCAGATTACACAAACCAAATACAGGAGTTTCATCTGACAAGGCTGATCTTGATCTGCCCTATTGCACACCGGCACAAAGCATCCTTCCTAGGAATAACCCCTTCTCAGTTTTGATGACTATAGTTCAAGAGTTTTTATGTTTTCCCCAGATTTTGAACAAAAACAACCTAAGTGAAAAGCTGGCTTTTTCATAGTTTGTTTTTAAGGCAAAGTCACATAGATGACGCTGTTTTGTAGGAAAGAAACTTGTATTTTACAGATTTCCCATATGTTTCAAATAATAGAACGAATTTAAGAATTTGCTCTCACTTTATTAAAGTCAGCCCTAAGCCCCCAGGAGATGTGCTGCACCAGCAGCCAATTCTGAACCTGCAACTTCACCTTCCTGCAATTGTCCACAGCA